TACCAAGTAATAAGACAATCGTTTTGAAAAAATGTCCTGTATTAGGAAAGTTAGTGTGAAAGAAGAAACTTTTCGAGAAAACAAGGAAATAGAAAAGGAATAATTAGTAGTCTGATTTCTAGAACACTCCATCTTTTATACATACATTTATCATTTTTATTGTGTTTCACGTTTCGCTTGATTACTCAACCCATGTATATACTGTTTAACAGGTACTTTTACTTTTTTCGTTTAGATCTACACGAATTTGTGTCTACAACTGGTTCTATTAGACGTGACGACAAACCAATTATATGAAACGATGAGGAATTGGATGAATAACAAAATATCAAAAGTGTTTTTTTTTTCTCGAGTTTAGAGAAAATATAACCAACCTGTTTGACAAATAGTCTAATAATATTTTAGGTGTCGGTGTGAGTTTGATACGTTTTGACGTTTGAAGATCTTACTATCAGCCATATTTATACCAATATCCGCATCCATCTCCACTTAGTTACGACCTCAAAAAAAGGTTTTATCTCAACTATGAAAAGTGTAAAATGTAATAATTAATTTTCGGCCAAGTTCTTTTTTGCATTTTGACTTTTCGCATATTATTAGATACCTCATATATCTCATAGGATCTCGCAGTGGCTGTGTTGACCTAGTACTTATACAGAGTTGTTTCTTGATAATACATTAATCTTCTGCATTGATATTTAAAATTCTCGATATGCAGTCATGAAAGAGAAAATGAAAATTTGACATAAAACAGTAAGACTTAGAAGCAGTGAGAAAAACAGACAACAAATACATTTTGCATTATAAGGAGAAACAATAATTTCAAGATTTCAGATACGATAAATATGACATCTGGTATAGCACTTGACAACTTTGATGAAGCTGATGTATTACACTTATATGCTAATACGGATATGACTCAGTTTGAAGAGATGGCTGGAACTTGTTCAAACAAGGACAATGTTGATGAAGCCTGTTTCACAGTTCGCAGTATAGTAATAGGGATTGTATTTGTCATAAGCATATCAGTTCTTCATCAATGGAGTAATTTTACTTACAGCACTGCTTACATTGGTCCAGCATTGTCCATTCTGTTGATTTTTCCGTTTGGTCACTTGTGGACACTCGTTGTACCTCATGCAAAGCCATTCACTCAGAAAGAACATGGATTAGTGCTTATTATGACAAATATTTCTTGGATGTATTTTTCTGTATTTCATTATGCGTTGTCTGCAGCATTGCCATTACTAGAATATGATAAACTGAATTTCGCAAATTATTTTTTCATTGTATTAGCACTTCAATTTTTGGGACTCGGGCTAGCAGGTAATATTTTTAGTATTATTTGGTTATGATAAATGTGAAAGAAATCTACTCGATATTTGAACTGCATTTAATCTTTCGCAATTATTTCCCGATCTGAACTCAGATTTTCATTATTTCATACGAATAGATAGGAAAAGGGAGCAGCTAGAAAATCGTTATCTTGATAATTTGAGAACAGAAGTGTACGTGATACATTAAAAAAGAAAGATGCCATACGAAACCTTTTTAAAGTTTCTTACGAAGAAGTTTTCGAGCGGATCTTTTTCTTTCATTGCGTGAAAAAAGCCTTTGATGTATCAGCTTCCCAGTATGCTCAGGACAATACAATTCTCTATTTATTTCCAATTATTATTTAACATTCTAACTGACCATTTACACCAATTTGTTTCGAATTTAGTACACCTATTTCTAATCGATCCTACTGATTCGTAATGTCTTACTCCTATATTTAATACTCTATATCTATCTTTAACTCGTTATTTCTATCCTTAACATCTTATAAATATATCCTTAGTCATTTATATCTATATCTAGCCTTTTATATCTATTCTTAATCCCTTAACTCTATGTCTTAATCCTTATATCTATCCTTAAAAACTTATATATATATATATATTTAAAGCATCATTTTTATCCTTTATGCATTACTACTATTGGTAACAACTTATTTCTTTACGCTAATCCTCTCATCTATTTATAACATCTTAGTCCTATCGTTAACGGTAAAGTTCTCATTTAGGTAGCATGAAGTCTGAGAGTTGTCATTTAATATTCAGAATCGATTGTAGCGTCAATGTAAATGAACTAACAGAGCTATGAAATCAAATCAGTTCACTGTCTGATTTATAGAAGATATTGTACGAAACTTTTCCGACTAGAAGAATCTCTAATGGTTTTCGTGAAACTTAATTGACTACGAAGCTGTATAAAAGTTCTGTACAGTCACACGATACCTGAAAAGATTTCGTACAGGAGAACGAAACCTCAAAAGTTCGTTAATGTATTTGTTTTTTCAGTGTACTAAACGTCTAACTTGATTTCACGGGTAATAAATATATAGAGTCGAGTATAGAAGTTAGGATTCTAGCAAAAATGTCAATCGATCGAATTCAACTATCTACTGCAATTACAGCTTTATAAGTGGGAGCACAGAACAATAATCGAAGTTCAATCAGCCAGAATGCAACTTAGTTATTATCTGAACAATGCTTCATCTTGAGACACAGTTTCCTAGGCTATTTTAGAAAATAGATTGGCGCATAATATTCGAAACCTCATTCAAACGGAAACTTCGATTCTGATAAGTTCGCTTTAAGTTGCTTTGGATAAAGAAGGTAGCTGTTTGTATACTATTCTTAATCATTTAATCTAGAAATAAATGTAATCAATCTGAGTGATTGATTTATCTCGTATTTTATTTTCTTCTTCCGTTTTTAGATGCTGACTTGATATTTGTTTAGTGCTATTTTAACATCATTTCTTATAATGACGACTTCGATGTGATCGCATGAGTAGTCTGTACTGAGACAATACTCTTTCTACTGCGATGGGTGTAGCATAGATACAGTGCATGATCCAAGTCAAGATTATTATACGAAAATATTTGAAATGAGATTTTCTAACGATAGAGTTGTAAATTTATGCGGATCTATACAATTTTACATGGAACCAATAGGCTTCATGGAGATCAAAAATTCACATTTTCGTTGTTGGATTCATCTTCAGTGGCAACCTTCGAGTTTTCTTATAATACTTGATCAAAGAAATATATTCATGAGACTACTTTATTTTGAGCATCTTACTAGTTTCAATTGCTTGGTTCCTAGCGTATAAAAATGAAAGTATTTTGTTTTTTTATGGATCAGTCAGTGAATTATCAAGGTTTATGTCCCGATTAAAGAAGATGAAAATAGTAAAGCGTTTCATAAGGGTAATCACACTCTTTCTTTGTGGAATATAAGAAAACATTTATATCTCAACAAGAAATTCGATAGGAGAGGGATCATACACTCCGAAACTCTCTATAATCAGTGATTATTGTTCACCAAACTATATCATATTGTAAAGTAAATATGGTTTCAATTCTGATTAAGATGCAGTAAAAATTAAGTTTTTTTTTCTCGAGATGTACACTAAATACTGACCAAAACTGATCTTTTCTAAGACATGAATAACTCTGTGATCAATTATGAAACTGATCGATCAATAGGTGTCTATCGTTATGTAGTTTTTCTTACCCATAAGAAAATAGTAATGATAAAGAATGGTCAAGAATGCATCTTCAGAAAAAGAGAACACATTCGAACTCTTATAAGAAAAAGTAATACATTATCGAGCCCGTTCTAAGTCAAAAGAAACCCATGCCTTCTCAAAGAGAATACGTTCTCATTGAACTCAATATTAGGAAATAAGAACTTGTTATGTTGATATGACATATATATCCATCGATATCTTCTATTCAATAGTAAAATTACATGTCTCTATCCTATTCTTATGGGATATCATTTAAAAATCATACACTGATTTCATATTTTGATGGTATTTAATAGTGCATACTTTCCTGACATCGGATGATAATTGTTAATGTTGTAGAACCAAACCTTCTTTCATCAGTTACAAATTATCTTGAGAAAGCTCCATGAAAATTTACGAATGAATAGTTTTAATTAATTTAAGCAAATGGTTACCATTTTAATCCTAGCTTAGATAGATAAATGCATTCGATCATTTTCTTTCTATAATCAAAATCTAAAAACTATAGCTATATATGTTCTTCCTTTGTGCACTAAAAGAATAAATGTATTATCTTTTCGACATGAAGGAAAAATTATACTAAGAAATATGAATCTCATGTAATATTTTTTGAAGGTCTCTTACGACGATTTTTGGTTTGGACACCAGAAATTATTTGGCCACAAAATTTACCGTTGATCGCTATGTTGCGTAGTTTGCACGAACGTAAATCAACTAATACAAATGAATATAATAGTGGTGCACGGAATCGTAATTGGAGAAATATTTTAATCCACAATAAAGTACTTTTGTTCTCTTTTATTGCTCTCTTGACATTTATTTACGAATGGTTTCCTCTATATATCGTACCTGCATTATCTGCTTTCTCATGGATCTGCATGATGAATCGTAAGAACTATCTTCTCGCTCAATTAACTGCCGTTCGAGGTCTTGCGTTAGGTGGTGGTGGACTTACACTAGACTGGTCAAAAATAACGATGTACCTTGGATCTCCGCTTATTGTACCGAGCTGGGCACTAATCAATATTGCATTTGGTTTTATTCTAATTATCTGGTTGATTGTACCTATTGTCTATGGAGCGAATGTGCGCAATGTGCAAGCTCACCCGATCGGTGGAATTATATTTCCAGGACTGACATCAATGCATCTTGTTACAGTGTTTACTTCATTCGCCTGTCTTCCAGCCATTTTTGTACACACGTTTCTGTTTCACAAGTCCAATATCTGGAACCAATTTCGTTTGAGATCTATATGCAACATAGGCAACGATATGCATACACGACTTATGTCACTCTACAGGAATGTTTCTGACTGGTGGTATTTTCTAGTCTTCGCAGCTTCCTTAATTCTAATTTGTGTAATTTGTAATCATACAGGTTTGTTGAAATGGTATTTAGTACTATTGTCTCTTTTCATCAATATGTTACTGGTACTTCCTTTCGGACTTGTTGCATCAATAACGGGACAACTTCTGCAGAATGCACCTGTCTATTATCTTGGCGTCATTATTTCTCAAGGTCTATCTTTAGATAAAGAATCGAAACAAGGCTATACATTTCTCACGGTTGGTTATGTTGTATTTGTTCAAACACTCGCTCTAGTGCAAGACATAAAATTAGGTCATTATCTTAAAATTGGCCATCGTCCACTCTTTGTTGCTCAGTGTTTAGCAGGATTTATTTGCTGTTCAATCAGTGTTGGTATTCAATATATATATTTTAAAATATACGGGTTCAATAAAGAATATGACTCGAATTTTTCAATATTTGATTACACATTGCTAGGCAGAAGTCTATTTAAAAATGTTAGTGGATTCTTGTCTGATGCTAATGAGGCAAACCGCTATTTACTTTGGGCTTTTTTGGTAGGCGCAATACTACCAATTCCTGGTTGGCTTTTATCACGCTGGACACACTTCAATTGCCTAAAACATTTACATTGGCCTCTCATTTTGGTCACGATCAGTTGGATGCCTGCTCTATTATCAGCAGGTGCACTTTTCACATGGATCCTAATTGGGCTTACTGTATATTTTACTGTTGGAAAATATACCTGGACTAAACGTTACATATATTTGGCTTCTGGTGCACTAGATATAGGCGTTAATATGACACAAATCTTTGTAAACACGTTATTCATCAATCAAAAACATTCATTTCCGGTATGGGGACATGCGAAAATCAACAACGGATGGGATAGTTGTACACTTGCTCTGTCAGCAAAGAATTGAGCAACGGAATATACATACTTCACTATGAACAATGATTAACTGAAATTGAATCATGTAATACTTGACTATTCTTTTCAAACTTCGTATTCTTTTCTATGCATATTGTTTGCTTTTAGACATCACATGGTTTTCTTACTAAATATAATTTAACAACGAATATTTTTTTTATCAAAAGTAACCATAAGATAGTACCATCACTATATTGTACTAGTGCATTGGAATATGTCATAAGCTTATCAGTCGAAAAGTTAGTTTAAGTCTTCAATATTGATGTCGGATTTTTTTACTTTTCTGATTGCTAATTTTGATTATTCGTATCATGATGCAATGTAGCTATTATCAATACTTATTTTCTCGATTTCTAGTAACATTTTTAAGGGATTAAACGAACAAAAAATGTGAGATGAACATGAGAAATAGGTAAATACAGATCTATAGAGAGATATGGGAAACAAAATAATAACAATAAAGGACTAAAGTCGGAAAACTAATACATAGAAAAACGCGCTAGAAAGAAGGAGCTTTCATAATGTAGAAAAATGACGCTGCGTTGTCGAATGAAAAACTAAAATCATGTAATTCAATATATTTCTTTTCGATTGTTGTCTTTTTACTTACGCTTAGCTTAGTTTTGATCGAGCACGGAACTCTTATGGAATTATTCATGTTCGTGGATGACTGCACTCAAAAAAAAAACGTAGGTTTATTGCAGAACTTCATAAGTTTTGTATTTACACATGAAAAGATATTAGATCCAGTAAAACAAAAATGATTTCCTAATTGTCATACAGAACATTTTTGAGCTTAGCAGATTTCACAGGATTTCCGAATCTTTAAACGGAATTCTCGGAGAGTTCCGTGAACTGATATGCGGTTTTATACATCATGCACTAAACCTTTGATAGTTTCGCAAATTATGGAAGCCTTCGCAATATGTCAATCAAGCCACTTATAATATCTTTGTGTAACTGAGAGTTACTGCACGATAGCCATATTCGAATCTCAATGTAGCTACTCAATCGAAAATCTTAGGTTTTGATGAATGCTGTCCCATTTTATAGAGCAAATATTTCAAGTATATAGCCAGATTTTTAAACTTAAAAGATGAATTTCGGCTGAGATGATAATCCCTTTAACGGCATCCAAAATCGCTTTTTTATCAATTCGACTTTTTTGTCAATTTTTCACTTAATATATTTTGACGATATGTTCTCACCAGTACATGATAGAGTTCTGAAATTTTTTCCTAGACATACATTTTCAGATGGGTAATACAACTATCAAGTCCAATCATGGTCATGTTCTGAGAATGTGAGATGGGGTGTGTGGGTGTAGGTGTAGGTGTAGGTGTAGGTGTAGGTGTAGATGTGGTTATGTGGGTGAAAGCGTGATTGTAAACAAGACTGACACGAGCACCCACATCCACACCCACACCCACACTCTAGATTATCAAAAACCCAAGTTTTCTTACATTTGATTAAGTGTTTATTTTCGTTTTGAACTTACTATTGCATGCTGAGAAAGAACTGATTGGAAAGTATTTACTAATGTGTTGAACTCTACTTTCTTGTTTCTACAATTACAAAAAATATACAGAAGTTTATTTTTGAAATGACCTGGAAAGTTCACTTTTTTTGACGCTTCAAATAAAATAGCTTCGTTTTTTTCCCATGTTTTTTCGAAAAACTCATTGACGTATGGGTGTGGGTGCCAGCGTAGAAACAGGAATAACAATATACCAATACTTCAAATCAACATCCTCACTCACATTCTGCTAATTGAACACGAGAACAAAACTTCTTTCGATTGTTGAATATAAACTTCATTTGATCTGATTCTTTCTTAATCAATTTTATAACAAAAAGTTTTCGTCAATAAAACTATTATAACTAATCAGATGTAGGCAACTGAAATCTATGTGAATGTATCTTTTAAGCGAAAGGTATCACGTTTCCGAATATTTTAATGAATTTCGGTTCAAGAAGTAATTATATTTATTCTAAAATTTCAAAACTCATTGGATAGACTTTGCGTTGTTTAACAGATGCCTCTGCCAAGTTTCTAAAATTCACTCCTTTGTCGGGTTTTTTTTGTGCAACTCACATAAGTTTTCGAAGAAAACAAAGTGAATGTAAATTTTAAATCGAAGTTGTGGCGGCTCCTCCCTCATCCCAATTACAGACACTTGGCAACGAAAGCTCCTTACTATAGATAGATCCCCATTACAGAAAATCCCAATTACAGAATTTAGTCATAGAAATTAAAGACGTTGAGCGAAATTAATAAAAAGGCTTAGAAAATTCCACAACATAAAACCTTTGTTGGAATTTTAATGGCTACAGTACATTATTCAATATTCCGCATAAAGAAATGTGTGATTTTGTACAAATAAACGATTATAATAATCTGATCAGAAATCATGTTTAGATTTAATAGAGGATAAGATGTGAGTGAGTATGAATAAACAACGTGTCATTACACATGCTCACACTGACATCCAAACCCTCTCTAGATCCGATCAACACAAAAACCTCAGATTCAGACCTGATGAATTCTATTCGTGACATACTTCGATAGTTAATTTGAAATAGCTTTGAAATACTCTTGGAGTACGGAATTTTTGGTTTTTTATCCCTTTAATAGTGCTCTTTAGCTGATTATATAAATATTGACTTTGATGATGTCTTCTTGTTCTTATACAAAAATTTCTCTTCCATCATATGGAAAACTAATGTCGGATTTTTTTAAAAGTACCAACGACTATTTTTTGAATAACTCTTTATCAGTTTGAACTATCAAGCTGCGATTTTCACCACTCGATAGAGCAAGGTGGGGGACATCTACCTATATGAGGTTCATTGGAGTCGTGACTTTTTATCATGGTCATATCAGAAT